ACTCTAAATAAGTCAAGATGGAATTCTATAAATTTTCAAGTAATGCACAAAAGGCTAGAAGCAGGAAATGAAAAGACAAATTATCATGGCAGAGTGAAGCATTAAAATGTCAAAGATTACCTTAAATATAAATGTTCTAAATACATTAGTCAAAATACAGATTTTCAGAGTTTATTTTTCAAAAAGCAAAGACCAGCTGCTTACTGCTTACAAGAAACATACCTCATATTTAACAACATAAGAAGTTTTAAAGTAAAAGGATGCAAAATGAGATGCTATATAATATTGATGCAAAAAAGCAAGTGAGGCTATATTAACATCTGATAAAATAGACTTTAAAGAAAAATATTCTAAAGACTAATGTTATATAATAATGAAAAAGTAGCTCACCAGGAAGATAGCATTATTTAAAAAGTATGTGTTAGAATCTCAAAATAAATCAATATGATTCCTATACTTCAAATCCAGGGATTCATTTACTACAAAGTAACCTAGGGGTGGGAAGGTATTTTGTGGTGATGAAAATATTCTATATCTTGATAATGTTGGAGATTGCACACTCTGTACATCTGCTAAAACTCATAGTATTGAATACTAAAAAGAAATTCTCCATGCATGTAATATTTGAAATATTATATACATTACATAATATGTATCATATATATCACACATTATAATTAAATTTCTAAATTATACCTCAAAAATCATTTTCAGAATTCTATGAATCAATATGAAATTATCATTAAAGATCTGTAGAAGAGATATTTAAAGAATATAATTTCCATACTTCAAAAAGCATGAGAAATAATTATAAGATTAAAATTTCAGAGCCAATGGAGCTATTTAATCTTATAAATTAAAAAAAAATCAGCCATGGAATCAGAACCAATTAGAACATTTACCTACATACCTGGTTCTTTTAGTGAAATTGTATCCTCCCAAAAGAAAACAATTGGGCAAGTTCCATAAATATAGTAATATCTCAAATCCTCAAGAAGGACAGTAATAATGTGCTGATATTATTTTCCATTTAATCATTATGTCTTTTCAGAGAGTAAAAATACTCTTTAGTAACTATCAATAAATTGTTTTACCATGCCCTCTTTAGGGACTTTTATTTTTTTTTTGGCACTACTAGGGTTTGAACTAAAGGCTTCACACTTACAAGGCAGGTACTCTACCACTTGGGCCATTTCTTCAGCCCTTTAGCCACTTTCAAAGAAATAAAATCATCAGTAGTAGACATATGATTGTCTTATTAATTATATCAGAATTCATCATTGCATCTGTTGAAAGTCTCAAGGTGATATTTCCCAGGTTTATCCACTGATCCTATCAGCATATGAATGTTATCTGAAAGGTAATTAGTTTTTTTTTTGTCGTTTTTGTGGTTTCTCATTTTTTTTTTGGTTTTTTATTATTATTTATGTGCTGGGTGGGAGTACATTGTAGCATTGACAAAGGTTCTTATAATGTATCAAATATATCACACTTGAATTCACCCCCCTCCACTGCTCTCTTTCTGAAAAGCAATTGTTATTGAGTCTCTGTTTTAAAATTTAAGAGAGGTAACCTATTATTTTGTCATGATGCAGCAGTTACATTTCACTCTATTCCTGAACACTAAATTAATCATACTCCTTAGCTAGTCTTCACAGAATTACCTTATATAGTTTTGTTCATCCTCTTTTGCTCCTGCTCATCAATAATTTACATCTGTAGGTACAGAGTTGTTCCACACTTTTGGCTCCATGTAGTTCTACATTTACTTTCCTTATAGAAATGCTAAGTAGACAAAACATTTAACCACAAACACTAAAGTAAGCCAAATAAATACTATATTCATTCCTCTGCTTCAGACATGCACCCCCACATTTTCACCTACTGTTCAAAAATAAATACTTTAATCAAATTTCATCAACATATACATAATTGTTTCCAAATACATTCGCTTAATTTGTGACAGAATTTTACTCCTGTCACACTGACTATTGGCTCTATTCAATTGTTCCTTATGCACTGCTACACTGTAACAGATGGACCAGGAAACAGAAAATGTCCCATTGCCCTTCTCCTGTTCTCTCCCTACTGCATTCATGCTCAGTGCTGCCAGAGTGTTGCTTAGGAAATAAAAAGAAAGAGTTATATATCCAGGCAAGTATAGACACAAAAAAGAAGAGATTACATAATAGTTATTGCAATAGAGGGCATTCTGGAACCTATTTTCTGGTCACAGAAACAGAATGCTCAAAGCCATAGAGGTAGAAAAGTGGCATCCTAGGACATTCAGCTCGGATGTGTCTCAAGTCCCCTTTTTCCTCCATTGTTTCTTTTAGCTATTTATTGAGAAAACCTATAGTAAACTTTGGCTGATTAAAGGATGAATATTTCAATTTTTGATGAGAATTTTTAAAAAATATTTAGAGTTTCTCACAGTAATGCAGGAGAGTAAAGAGAATTCCAGAGTCAACAGTGGTGAATATTCTTGCCTCCTACATTATTCTAAGTTTCTCTTTAGTAACTGCCCTTTTTAATATTACTTGCTTTTCTCCTTTTACTGCATGCATGTGGGAAAGACAGAGTCAGAGACAGAGACACAGAGAGGAACAGAAACAGAAGGATGAAAAGAAAAGAAGAAATGCTCATAAATAAATCTGTTATGTTTTGAATGCCACCCTCCAACCTTATGTGTTAAAATTTTAATCCTAACTGTAACAGTGTTAAGAGGTGGGACCTTTTAGATTTGATTATGTCATAAGGGCTGTGACCTCATCAGTGGATTAATGTCATTATCTATGTATAGCAGTAGTAGCTTCCTGATAAAAAGGGTGAATTTGACCCCTTCCCTCTTCTTTCTTTTGCCCTCCCACCTTCCACAATGAGATGACATAGCAAGAAGATTCTTGTTGTCTATGCATTCTCTTCATCTTGAACTTGCCAGCCTCCAGAACTATCAGAAATAAATTTTTGGTCTTTATAAATTACCCAATCTCAGGTATTCTGCTGTGAAAGCACAAAATGGACTAAGACACTAACCAGTCGGGCAGTTTACCCCTCTCACTAATACCTGATACAAAGTGATTAGAACACAAGGTACAGGAAAGAAGATCTTCCCCTTTGTTTGGTCACTTGCAGTCTTACCAAAACACTGATTTCATTACACACATTTGCAAGCAAGAAGAAATGTCCCACAATGGTAGATTTCAAGATGGGATTTGCACGCCCCCTATTGGCAGAGCAGAATTATGACACTTGGAACAAGAAAGTGATCTAGTGGTGGCCATTAATATTTTCTAGCTGAAAACTTTTTTCTTGGCAGCCAAAATTCTTGTTCCTTTATAATTGGATCCAGGAACATCCAGAAAAACAAAAACAAAGTATGTTTCTTTCTTTCTTAGCCATAACATTTCCTAACTAGCTCTCTCAGGAAATAGTGGATCCTATACTGATACAAGTCAGGTATGTCTCCTCAGTAACAATTTTTATTGTCCTAAAACAACAACCTAGAAGAAAAAAATTAAAGATCCCTTACTGCACAATTTAAAATACTGTTGTTCAAGTATATGAAACTACAACATTGACAAATTTTATTTTGCCTCTATTATTTGTGACAGGAACTACAGCAAATATGTTACTAAAAAATTTTTTTTCTTAAAAATTCACAATTATTTCTAACAATTGGAAGTTACTGGATGCTGGTGAATGAATAGTGGTACATTCTGGAAATTAAATATTTACTATTATTATTGATGAATTACAGTAACTTTCCTTTTAAGTGTACATTCTTCTTACTAATGTATTATGCTATATTACAGTCACAAGTGTGATCTAGGGCTACTAAGATATAAATATATATATATATATATATTTCTTCTTTTAAATTTTCCTTCCACTTATTCAAATAAGAGTGAGTCATGGTACTATTTCCCATGCTTTTTTCTCTGACCTTTAGACTTATCCTTGGGATGCTAACTAAGCTATTAGTAAGATGCCAGCAGACAGAGGTGAACTTAGCTCTTGTGTGTCCTTTCTTTCTTCTTCCAGCAGTCAAGTACAGTTCTTTCTGAAATTGCAGAAGCCTCTCAAGCATATAATTTATGGCTTCCAATGAGTTTGAACTTCATGCTTGAAGTGATGCACAAATAAGTGATTTAATTCATGCACCTGTATCAGGATTTTCTCCAGCCATAATGAAATGGGTAACTAGTTCAGAATTTCCCTAAGAAGTATTGCAGCAAGACATCAAAAAAGCGCTGATTGGCATATCTGGGCAGGAAAAGGAACACCACGCTTCCAGGAGTGCTGTGATAGGCATCTGGGTTTCGCCCTTGAGAAAAAAATTGAGCATTTTCTGGCTCCCAAGGCCAAGCCCTTTGACTTCAATGATGTACAATTTTCTCATTACAAACACTATTGCACCCACAGGAATTCCTGTCAGCCTTCTAATTATTTTCTCAGTTTGAAATAAGACCTTGTCTTTAATAAGAGAAAGAATTTGTCATGTGATTGTTTTAGCATCCACACAGCAGTATAGAGAAAGGATGCACAAGGGAAACACCACAAGGACATGAGAAAGGAGGAAGGCACTTTTGAAAATAAATGCAAACCATTCCCCCATTCCATTTGATATTATGATTATCAAAATATAAGTAATTGTGTTGCTGTCAATAACGGTAGTCTTTAGCTAGAGAAATTTAGGAAAACAAAGGAAATACAAAACATTGCTTTAGCCCTCTGTCTTTGATTAGAATGTTTTCATAATTACTGTTGATGGGGTCACACAATTCCTGCATTATTGTCCACATAATCCGTAATCAAGATTTTTTGGGGGGAGTTGTCTTGTTTTGTTATTTTTAATTTTTAAGATTCATTTTAACTGACATATTAAAAATATACAAAGTGTACATATTAATAGGAAGATGAATTGAGTTTTGAAATCACAGAGTATCGAGTTGCAGTCGTGTTGTCAGAGTTCCTGTCTCCTTGCCAGAGCCGCCCCGATGGCCTCCCAAAACCGCGACCCAGCGGCCTCTGGCGTCGGTAAAGGAGCCGAGCCGAGCGGGGGCGGCGCCCGGGGTCCTGTGGGCAAGCGGCTACAGCAGGAGCTGATGAAGCTCATGATGTCTGGTGACAAAGGAATCTCTGCCTTCCCTGAATCAGACAACCTTTTCAAATGGGTAGGGATTATCCATGGAGCAGCTGGTACGGTATATGAAGATCTGAGATATAAGCTCTCCCTAGAGTTTCCCAGTGGCTACCCTTACAATGCACCCACAGTGAAGTTACTCACGCCCTGCTATCACCCCAATGTGGACACCCAGGGTAACATCTGCTTGGACATCCTCAAGGACAAGTGGTCTGCCCTATATGATGTCAGGGCCATCCTGCTCTCCATCCTGAGCCTGCTAGGAGAACCTGATATCGATAGTCCTTTGAACACACATGCTGCCGAGCTCTGGAAAAACCCCACAGCTTTTAAGAAGTACCTCCAAGAAACCTACTCGAAGCAGGTCTCCAGCCAAGAGCCCTGACCCGGACTGTCCAGCCTCTCCTGGGTAGTCCATATTTTTCCTTAGATGATCTGTCTTTTTCTTGATTTCTGTGTAGGACCCTATCTTGTGCTGTGGTGTTATTTTTGTTTTGTTTCTGTTTTAAATTATCTGGTTGAGCCCTTGTAATGTAAATTAAATAAATATTGTCTTGGTTGTTTTTGTACAAAAAAAAAGAAAGAAATCACAGAGTATCCACATAATTCAGTTTCCATATAATCCACAGCCTCTGTATACCTGTAGTCAATATGGAGACTCAGTGACAGTCACACCATCTTTAAATTGTCTACCCAGTAGAACATTTTGAAATAACAGAAGTATTTTGTATTATACTGTCTAATATGAGAGTCACATAAGAGACCATAGCTATTGAGCACTGAAAATGTGGCCAGTGAAGCTAAGGAACTGAATTTTTATTTTATTTCAATTTAATCAGCATAAATAGCCACATGTAACCAGGGTGGGATGTGTAGATGGGATGCAGGGATGATGTCAGATTTTTGTAGTTGAAGAGTACAATCTGTCAGTGTAGAAAACTTGTTCATGAAGTTTGTTTCCCAAGTTTCTTGAATGAAAATAGCAAAATGTGGAAGGGAAAATAAAGTTGAGAAAATATTAAGTTAGATCAACTTTAGAATATTCAAATGACAAGATGTTGGGCAGGGGGTTGTGAAAGTACAGCACAGTGGGAAGGATTGAAGAATTGATTTAGATAACATTATAGATATCTCTTGTTACAATTAAAGGAAAAAGCAAACAGATGTGTATGAATAGAAGTTGTTTTGTAGATTTTGGAATAGAAAATTAGTCTTTTTAAAGTCTTCTATTTTTCTCAGCAGAGTAGGAGGAAAGGCCATCTGCCCAGAGAGTGGAGGGAAGGGATAGGACTGTGGGACTCTACTGCTCATTTCTGGAGGACATTATCCCTACTTAGTATTTCACCTTAATTCCCCCAGGCGGGCTCACACATTTTCTCCAGATGTATTTGATTACAAGGTATGATGTGAAAAGTAACAAAAGACCTGCCTGCCTGAAAAGATCTCTCAAAAGGACCTCCAGCTCTCCTGTTTTTCCTTCTGTTTGTGTCAATACTGTGATTCTTTTGGGAAAACGCATACTTTTATTAGGATAAAACATGAAATAAAGGACAAGCACTCAGGTGCTTCACATTAAGACCAATTAGTTTATCTAATTAGCCCTTTAAACAATACTACCACAATATGCAAGTCAGAGAAGAAGTAAGAAAAGTTTCTGGTCATGGAGGTCCCTTCTTATCCTGGGCTTCTAGTAGCTAAGAACAATATTGATCTTGAGAGAAGGTAAGGACAGTGCCAAAAAGAAGAGACAGAAGCATTGAAACGAAAGCTTGGCTCATAGTTATTTTCAAAGTTAAGCTTAAACATTATGTGATACATTCTGTATTATCAAGTATCTAATCCCCACAAAGCACCTTCTACAGTGAACAGCTGGTATGGACCTAAATTCACAGAGAATAGATGTGGCAGCTTGGGAGGAAATGTATAGATCTCCCTGAAGCATAAGAGCTACTGTGAATCATAGTCAAACTTATGTAATCAACTCTTGCTAAGGTTAAGGTTAAGGGTAAAGACAAATTATTGCAAAAAGAGGAGCATGGATTGTTAGTCCAGTAAAAAAAAAAGTTCTTGATAGGAAAGGTGAGGGTAAAACAATGTTTTGAAAGACAGATTCTGAAAATCCTGTATTTTAGTCAGCCTTTGTTGCTGACTAAAAGGAGAAAGAGTGCTGCTTACAAGGAGAAAATTTTATTTTGCCTCATAATTTCAATAGTTTTAATCTTTGGCTGACAAACTCTGCTGGACCATGGTGGAGCAGAGTATCATGATGGGCAGAGTATGGAGAAGAAAAAATGATCACATCATGGCATCCAGGAAACAGAAGCAGAGACAGAGACAAGATAGAGCACTCATCATCCCCAGCACCCTACTTCCTCCAGGTAAGCTCCTCCGCGACACTTCCAGCACCTCCCAAAATAGCACCACCATCTGGTGATCAAGCCCCCACAATGAGGTAAGTGACACTATTCCCTCAAACCTGTCTGTTGATGAGAGGTCTATTTCTCAATAATTTGGTTAACCATTTTTCCCAGTCTGAAGAGGAGGGCATCCACATATTTCCCCAATATTTGTGAGAATATCCTTGAAAATTACTTATTAAGCTCTGTATCAAATATGTAAAGGAAAACAGATTTACATAATTCTACCACATATCTATTTTTTGCAGACCCCTTTTAAGGCCATTCAATCATTTCCTATTATCCTTGGATAATTAGATGTAACAGAATAACCTGAAATTTCTCAACCAAAAGAAGAAAAATTGAGAAAAAAAAAAAAACCAACATAAATTCTGATAGTTTTTACTTTTCAGAAGCACATTTGAAAATTTATCTATGAGGAAGCAAAAGAGGAACCACGTGACTAAGTGCAGCTGGCCCAGCACTAATTTATTAGCTATGCTTAGGCAGAAAGCATACTGACATATCTTCACTGCAGTATGATGCATACGCCCATGACACTGTGTGTGTGTGTGTTCACCAAACCTGCCTGTGGTATAGAAGTATTGTATAAAAACAGTGAATAAATGAATAAATATATACAAGAATGCACACAGGCATACAAAAATGCCTAGACAGGTTCTGTAAAATCAGTTCAAAAATCATTATTTGCATCATACAATTTAAAAATACACATTGTTTATACTTTTTAAATTGGTTAATGTAAGTCAATTCAAATTCTGAACTCCTTAATAATTTGACATTTTCATAGCCACATGGAAAAATGAGTCTGGCAAAATTGTCAAGGTAAAGATGAGGGCAAAAAAGCCATCTTGGGATTGGACACAAAAAAAAATGTTGGAGACAGATTAATGTTAATGTTGAATTCTCACTGCGTTTTATTATATAATCTTCTGTTTTTAGTGACTGCTGCAATTTCTATTCCAACAATAATTCACATTAAAAACTTTAAGTTATTATGTCTGGATTTTGTCTACAATACATAAAGTCTACTTGAAAAATAAAGAGTTAAAACAATCACATCAGCCAAGCGTAATAAACCAAATCATATACACCAAACTAATAATAAATTCAAAATAACATTTTCTTATCTAGCATGGTTTATCTCTACATATTACCTTGATAATTGTTGTCATTGCATGAAAGAAAAATTGGAATCTTTTATTAATATTTTTAAGAGACTCAATGAAAATAACTGTGTTACCTAGACAAAATATAATGTGCATGGATTAGTTCAGCTATTTTGTAAACCTGAGAAAAATAGACAACATGCATAAATATTCAACAAAACTGAGATAGACATTGACATTGTTCTGGCACTCTGGAATGTATTTCAGTTCATTATCATGTTCTTGCCATTTCTAATTTGCTGTTGGTTTTAGTTATTGGTTGCACTTTGAAGCATAAAAATAATAAAATTAGAAGAACCTCGAGGTACTAAGAACTGGTTATTTGACATCCACATAAAACCTGGCTTCATTTCGCAGCAGAGCACTATCAATGGCACACTCGATGATGATGGCTCTCCTAAGGCCATGCAGCACTCTCCATGATAAGACCAAGCATCTGCTCACTATAGCAGGCAGAAAAGTTTCAGAGATTTTCCATACACCTATTTATGTCTATTTAGGTATGTTTGTAAATATATTTATACTCCCTGCTGGGGTAAGTTTGGATATATGAAACATTTGGAGGGCAAAGAAAATTTAGGCTCATGGTAAAAGTAAAATTTCCTTGTGGGTGAGGAACTTATCACCTTTTATAAGAATCATAGGTTGAATCATTTTAGATTTTAACCCAAAATGATAACTCCATAGTCTCATTTGAAAACAATTCTAATAACATTTTGATAAAGATGAGCTTAAGGTCAGGGTGGCGATAGTGGTGATATACCATATAGGGAAAAAATCTTCGGATGACTAATACAGAGAATCCTGCTGAACATTATACGGGGCTTGCCTCATGGCAGATGTTGAACTGAACACTTCGTATAAGAGTCTTTATTTAAGTCTCAAAACAACTCTATGAAATGAGCATTGATACGTTTGTTGCATGCATGGGAAAAGCAAGGATTAAAGATATGGTCTGCTTTGTATTCTGTCACATTCTGGTGGTATGTGGCAAAACCCAGACCAAACCCATGTCAGAGACTCTACAAGTCAGCATTCTTGACCATTAAACAGTTGTCTTATTATTGCATTGCTGCAGATTGTGTGCCTGTACAATTGCTTCACTCTTTTTCCCTCTCTGTTTACTCCGTGTGCCCATTTAAATAAGCACTCTAAAAATGTTTAAAGACTGAGTCATTTCACTCTCTTCTGGATGAGATGAGGAAGCTAGCCAAGCCCATTTGTCATTCATACAATTTTTCTCTAAAACCACTTGTGATGCTGGGTAATAATCCCCAGATGGAAGTCATTAAAGTTTAATTTGTATGCATATGTAACATCTTGCTTTTCAAAATCTTTCTGACTTTACTCTTTCTATTACTGAAGCTAATTGATATGTATATAAGAAATAACTAATTAAAATGAGTGTAAAGCAGTTTTATCAAATATAAAACATGCTATAAAATGCTAATAACTATAAAAGTATATAGAAAAATTTGTCAATTACAAAATTAACTTCAAATGAGGGAGCAAATATAATTTATCCTTTACAATGTCCAAATAAATGACTTGTTTGGCATCTAAATTCCATTTTGGTTAATATTAAGAAAATCTCAAGAATAATAGTTGGTTTTCCTTCATAATGCTAACCCGGCTACAATTTTGAAGATGATAATTCTAATCATACATTACACTTTGAAAAACTAATACTGGCTACTTTCTAGGACCACATTGTTGTCATGATTAAATAAATTTAAATCACTGCATAGCAAACCATCTGAGAATGGACATTTTCTGTCTTTGTAAGTGACTAATGGCTG